AAGTTTCTCCACCAAAAATATGGGTCGGCCAACAAAAGTCCACAAGTAAATATCAAACTGGGAGGCGCCCCCCATCCCTATGCAAAACCAGGAAGGAATACTTAACTTAGGTAGCAGGAACGCAGGAACGCAGCTGTTGTCTCGGTTGTGTCGTTGGTCATCGGGCTCCTCATCTCCAAGCTGAAAGGGAACCTGAAAACAGAGGAACTAACCTGTTGTAATAATTGAATAGAAAAAAAAATGTACTTACTTTGGTGCTTTGGTGACAGGAACACGAACACCTCTCGCCCATGATACTGTTTACGTGGACCGGACATGATGGTTCAAAGTTGTCGAAAGACTGATCCAGCTATCGCCCTAACTTGGTGTGTTTGCTGCATCTCTCTCATAGTTGTACCTGAAAGATACAAGATAAGAAAATGAAAAATACAAGGATGCAACTTGGTCGAGTCACTTCCAATACAAGCGGAGGAGGGAATGCAAAGACATTCCTTTCATTGACTCTAGTAAATCTGTCATAGCCTTATACCCCTCCTGGCTCAAGATTTATATCATCAAGTCAACTAACTGCTTGGGCAGATGTAACTCTGTAGGAAGAATGGAATAGTTGAGCATATGTATATTCTTTAAGAACACAGACCACATGTGAAAATAATGAAACATGGCTTCATGGTACATCTGTACATTAAGTGAAATCAAGGCAGTCCTCTTTTAGTGTATTTCTTAGAAAAAATGTTTGCCAAACATACATGTGCCAACAATCGGATTAGAATCCCAACAATTGAAAAATGTGTCGTTGTGGAATAACTGTACTGAACCAGAGAGCAAAATCATCAAATGATAGAACTGATTATGTGTTACAGTACCTTAACAAGATGGTATGTAGATATAAATGCTGCAGATAGGTAGCACAAATTGCAGATTCTCTGTGGTTTTCCTTTTGTGTTTCTTTTTGTTCTCTCCAAGGCAAGAGGTATGTAGATCACAAATGCTGCAGGTAGGTAGCACAAATTGTAGATTCTCTGTGGTTTTCCCTTTGTGGTTCTTTCTGTTCTCTCCAAGGCAAGAGGACTGCACCTGAAAGTACATTTAAGGAAAAGATCAGCGATGGTTCAATTAAAAAGAAAGAAACCCCGAAACTAAGCCCACAATTTTAACATGAAAACCCAAAAGAAAAGACCCTTCAATCTACAACTGTAGCTAAAATGAACACAAGACTTCAGACCTTCAAAATTTAGATCTGGAGTAGTACTTGAAGTCAACTTTAAAATTGAATCATTACTGAGTAAGTACTGGTCAACGAAATACAATACAATACAAAACAAAACAATACAAAACTATACAATACAATACAATACAATACAATACAATACTAAGCACTAGATCCATGATCTTGGTCATCTGGTTCGTTGCTTGTCTGGTTCGTTGCTTGTCTGGTTCGTTGGTTGTTTGGTTCGTTGGATGGAGTGTTGATTAGTTTGTTGATTAATTAGTTAGTTGGTTGGTTAGTTTTAACCTATTGGGTGGTCTGGTGGTTGTCTGGTTGGTTAGTTGGTTGGTTAGTAAGTAAGTTAGTTAATAGATTAAGCCTATTGGGTCATTGGTTGGTCGGTTGGATGTTCGGTAAGTTGGTTGGTTGGTTGTCTGGTTGGTTGTCTGGTTGTTTGACTTCCCCCCAAGAAAAACTAGAATAGTACTGGGAGCAGCCCCCTGCTAATGGGATGCAACTGATTGCAAGAGATAAAAACTGGTCAAAAGCGACATCTACAGTAAGTCCTTGAAACTCAACCTAGTCTCCTAATGGAGACAAATGTGATTTCAACAGGACTGTCTTTCTGCAGGAAAACTGAAAAACTACTGGGAGTTCCCCCCCCCCTGCTAATGGGATGCAACTGATTGCAAGAGATAATACTGGTCAAAATGCGACATATACTGTAAGTCCTTGAAACTCAACCTAGTCCCCTAATGGAGACAAATGTGATTTCAACAGGACTGTCTTTCCGCAGGAAAACTGGAAGAGTACTGGGAGTCCCCCCCCTGCTAATGGGATGCACTTCCAGTTTAATTTCATGGGGGGGGGGTCTCAAGTCACCTTTTTATTGTTGAGTTGGATTTGATGGAGCGATGTGGGTCTTTTGATTGTGGACATGGTTGTTTAATTCAAGTTTTTGGGAAGTCATCACTCCAGTTAATTTTTCTTGGGGGGGGGGGTGTCAAACAACCAGACAACCAACCAACCTACCTGACATCCAACCGACCAACCAATGACCCAATAGGCTTAATCTAATCAACCAACTTACTTACTAACCAACTAACCAACCAGACAACCACCAGACCACCCAATAGGTTAAAACTAACCAACCAATAAACTAATTAATCAACCAACTAACCAACACTCCACCCAACGAACCAAACAACCAACGAACCAGACAACCAACGAACCAGATGACCAAGATCATGGATCTAGTGCTTAGTATTGTATTGTATTGAATTGTATTGTATTGTATAGTTTTGTATTGTATTGTATTGTATTGTATTTCATTGACCTACTGGAAGTAGCCCCCCACCACACACAGACTATCGAGGGAATACCTTTCCAAAAACTTGAATTAAGCAACCCAAGCTAAAATCTATAAGACCACAGCTCAAACTAAAAAAAGTGAAGTGACTTGAGGCCTCCCCCATTAAAAGTAGAACTGAAATAGTACTGGGAGTAGCCCCCTGCTAATGGGATGCAACTGATTGCAAGAGAAAAATGTGATTTCAACAGGACCGTCTTTTCGCAGGGATTCACCATCTGTGCTAGATAAAAACATGTTGTTTCTACCCAGAGACCATAATTTCTGATACCCATACAAAAATAAGGTTATTTTTTCCAAACATAATTTCTGCCCGTGCTATTTTCTGGAACAAAATAAAGTATGAAGACATGTGTGTATTTTCTTGCTTAATTCAGGAAAGTATCATTACATTGTCTTCTCTAAGTAAACCTAGTAAGTTGTCAATGGAAATCCAGTGTTATTGAGAAATTTGGAAAAATTGAAAAGGTGGCCATTTTGATTGATTTTTCTTAGATTTCAGCTTTTCATGAAGTTGCCAATTACCTGCTATTAGGTTTACTAAAAAGACATTGTCGTTGTGCTGCATGACACCATCATTCGTACTTTTTATATTTTGTATTTTTTTACCTATTCCTTAGTTTTCCTCGTCTGGAACCACTGCATGCTTTTAGACACTTGTTATGTCCTGGTCACATTAGCTCCACATCATCCAGATCGAGCATATGCTGGCATAATAATCCGGGCTCTGCTTATTCATTTTGTCTACAACAACGGCAAATAATAGCAATTTTTATGATATACTGTGTTATTTTCGTTTTTACGTATCGACATTTTTCAACTTCGAAAATTCCTTTGTTCTTATTTGTATAATGAATGCTCATAGGATCTAACCACGTGATCAGACGTAAGGTGGTCTGTTGAGATTGACCAATGAACACCGCGAGAAATTGCTGTAATCGAATGCCAGTACGCATCAGTTTTAAGCGTCTGCACGGGTAATATCTAAAGCCCCGCTATGATTGAAAAATCGCGAGCAAGTCCCCGCTGAAATCGCGAGCATAGTCCTGTTTATTTGTATCACTTTGGAAAATGAACCAAAAGGATGAAAATACTTATTACCGTTCTTTGATACTCCAGCAAAACTTTGAAAACAGATATATTTGACAAAAAATGACATGAAAAATGATTATTTTTTACTTGCATGAAGGAAAGGGGCGTCAACATGCACGTTTGCATAATTTACTGTTCATATATTACCTTTATCGTTAAAATAAAGGCAATAAATACGATTTACATACTCCATAATAAATATCGGATCAAGATGGTCTGTATTGATAAGTTACTGGACAATGACACCTGCCATGGGGGTCGAAATACATCATTAAAGGTGTTCCTGTGGCCCCGCTGAAAAAATGAGGAGGCCCCGCTGAAAACATGAGGAGACCCCGCTGAAAACACGAGCAAATTTCACGACTACCCGCTTCGATCACGAGGAAAGCTTCATCATTATTCCATGAATATAGTGAACTTCTTTATATGAACGTACACGAATGTGCAAATAACGTATTAATGACAATCACATAACATATCATTCTATGGCAACATCAAAAATATTTCTTCTTCAACTTCAGGCAGTCTAATCCATCTGTCAGCGGCATGATCAAATTTTTATATGTAAATAGACTTTGTACATTTCGGAGTTAAATGTACATTCTACATAATTAACTATTCCAAGGATTATACTTCTGAGGACAAATATATTTCATTGGTTTCTTTGTCCGACCGTTCATTCGTGCGTGCATTCGACCGACCGTTCGTTCGTGCGTGCATTCGTCCGACGGTCCGTTCGTTCATGCGTGCGTTCATCCGACAGATTGATTGTTCGTGCGTGCATCGCCCAATCATGCGTTCGTGGCAGCGTTCGTCCGACCGTCCATTCGTTCGTTCGTGCGTGCATCCGTGCGATTGTCCATCCGTTTGTGTGCGCATGCGTTCGTCTGACCGTCCGTTTGTGCTTGCTTTCGTCTGACTGCCCTTTCGTTCGTGGGTTCGTCCGTCTAGCCGTCCGTTCGTCCGTGCGTGCTTTCGTTCAACCGTCCATTCATGCGTGCGTTCGTCTGTTCGTTCTTTTTGCGTTCGTTTGTGTGTTCGTTCGTTCGTGCGTTCATTCGTGCGTTCGTTTGTAACTACATTCTTGCGTGCGTGGGTTCGATCTTTTGTAAATTGTTTTCTTCTATCTTCTTTCCTTCATGCGTTCTTTTGGCCGCCTATCCGTCCGTTTGTCCATTCATTGTTTTTTCGGCTGTTCTTCTGTCCATCCTTGCGTTCTTTGCTCGTTCGTTTGTTCGTTTGCAGGTTTTCATCAAAATTTGTCTTTCCACTGCCATAAGAATGTAAATAATCAAGAAAGCAAGCAAGGATGTGAGGAAGTAAACAAGCAACGAAGTAAGTAATTGAGTTAGCAAGCAAGTAAAGAAGGGATGGAGGAAGTAAATCGAAGAAGTGAAGGTGGGAGTAATATAAGTAAGCAAGGAAGGAAAAAAGGAAGGAAGGAGGGAAGGAAAGAAGCAATGAAGCAAGGAAGGAAGGAAGAAAGGAAGGAAGTGAGGAAGAAATTTGTGAAGGAAGCGAGGAAGCAAAGAAGGGGGAAAGAAGGGAGCGAGGAAGGAAAAAAGCAAGGAAGGAAAGAGGGAAACGAGGAAAGAAGGAAGCGAGGAAGCAAGGTAGGAAGTGAGGAAGGAAAGATTCCGAGGAAGGAAGGACGCAAGGAAGCAAAGAAGGAAGGAAGGAAGCAAGGAAGCAAGAAAACGAGAAAGCGAGGAGGGAAGAAAGTGAGGAAGCAAGGAAGGAAGGAACTGAGGAAGAAAGAAAGGACGGAAGCGAGGGAACAAGGAAGGAACGATGCGAGGAAGGAAGGAAGGAACTGAGGAAGCAAGGAAGGGAACGAGGAAGAAAGGAAGCCAGGGAGCAAAGAAGGAAGGAAACTATGAATCAAGGAAGGAAGGAAGCAAGCAAAGACGCAAGAAAGGAAGGAAGGAAAAAAGCAAGGAAGGAAGTAAGTAAGGAAAGAAGGCGAGAAAGCAAGGAGGGAAGGAAGTAAGGAAGGAATGAAGCGACAAAAGAACAACGTGAGGAAAGAATGAAGGGAACGAGGAAGCAAGGAAGGAGGAAAGAATGAAGTGAGGAAGGGAGGAAGCAAGGAATGAAGGAGGGAAGTGAGGAAGGAAGGAAGTGAGGAAGGAAGGAAGGAAGGAAAGAAGGAAGCGAGGAAGCCAGGAAGAAAGCAAGCGAGGAAGCATGGAAGGAAGGAATGAAGCAAGGAAGGAAGGAGGAAAGGAAGTGAGGAAGAAATTTATGAAGAAAGCGAGGAAACAAAGGAGGAAAGAAGGGAGCGAGGAGGGAAAAAAGCATGGAAGGAAAGATGCTAGGAAGGAAGGAAGCGAGGAAGGAAGGAAGCGAGGAAGCAAGGTAGGAAGGAAGCGAGGAAGGAAAGATGCGAGGACGGGAGGAAGCGAGGAAGCAAGGAAGGAAGGAAGCAAGAAAAGAAGGGGCGAGGAAGGAAGGAATGAAGCAAGGAGGGAAGGAAGTGATGAAAGAGAGAGGCGAGGAAGCAAGGAAGGAATGAAGCGAGGGAGGAAGGAAGCGAGGAAGCAAGGTGGGAAGCAAGCGAGGAAGGAAAGATGCGAGGAAGGAAGGAAGCAAAGAAGGAAGGAAGCAAGAAAAGAAGAGTCGGAGAAGAAAGGAAGGTAGGAAGCGAGGAAGGAAAGAAGCAAGGAAGGAAGGAAGCGAGGAAGGAAAGAAGCGAGGAAGCAAGGAAGGAAGGAAGGAAGCGAGGAAGCAAGGAGGGAAAGAAGCAAGGAAGGGAGGAAGCAAGGAAAGGAGGAAGCAAGGAAGGAAGGATGCGAGGAAGGAAGTAAGCGAGGAAGCAATGAAGGAAGGAAGCAAGGAAGGAACGAAGCGAGGAAGGAAGGATGCAAGGAAGCGAAGAAGGAAGGAAGTGAGGAAGCAAGGAAGGGAGGATGCAAGAAACGAAGGAAGGAAGCAAGGATGGAAGGAAGGAAGCGAGGAAGGAAGGATGCAAGAATGCAGGGAAGCAAGGAAGGGAGGAAGCGAGGAAGGAAACGAGGAGGGAATATCGACTTGTACTCAAAGATGGAACAGAGGGGACAGTTGCAATACAGAGAATACAGAATATCTTATATTACTTCAAATTATGAAAATGAGGTTAAATGTTTAACATTTCGTCCGATCTAATATTCATCACATTTCTCAGATGATCTTTCTTATTCTGTAAAATGGCATGGAAATATGATACTGCAGTTTTCCATAACAATGTATCATAATATGAACTATATTAAACAGTTGTGTTTGCTGTTATTGAGAATTGTATTGACAAATAATGTATTCATCAAACTGGGTACAATAGTGGACGAAGGTGGGTACGAAAGTGGGAGATTTTCAGGGTATAATCGGGATTCACTCCATTTTTGAGAGACACTTGCTCCTGTTTTCAGCGGGACCTCCTCATGTTTTCAGCGGGGCCTCCTCCTGATTTCAGCGGGATCTTTGCTTAATTGCTCCTGCTAGAAGCGGGGCCTTGAGGGATATGATCAAATTTAAATATAAAATGTTCTGTAAAGCTTTAGAAAGTGAAACTCGGTACATCTTTATTTCATATCACTATCGTTATTTCAACCACAGGACAACATCGTTCTTCACCAATAACGCATAGAAATATATAGATAAAGATTCAAAAAGATACTTTCTCTCTTCAATTGACAAATAACGAACCACAGAACGACCGCTCGTGATACATTTTTTCCAGCAGTTGCTTTTTTAGTCTCAATACCATGTAATCATTGGGAAAAATTAAAAGAAAACGTTTTGTAAATCATACAATTCAAGAACACAAAAAGAACCCATGACTTCTTCTTATTCCTCGCGATTTCAGCGGGAACTTGCTCGCGATTTTTAAATCATAGCGGGGCTTTAGATACTACCCGTGGTCTGGTATCAGTTCCAAATATATCTTATTTCCCAAATGGTCCATAATCACGTTCGAATTTCACGACGCTAGACATTAAATACATGCTAGTGTGAATGTTGCGTTCTATTTATACTACGTTTCAATTACATAAACATAAACATTAAAATAACATGAACAAAAATTTTATTGAAAATGCTTACATAAAAACTCATCCATTCTTTGTGGATAATGTGAAAGTCCAATAAAGGTACGATTTTAAAACAAAGTAACGTGTTTTAAAAATGCCTAGCTACATAAAAATTCATCCATTCTTCGAGGAGATAAAAAGTCCAATAAAGTTACATTTTTTATGACAGAGTAACGTGTTTCGAAAATGTCTACATAAAAATTCATCCATTTTCTTGGAGAACGTTAAAGTCCAATAAAGTTACGTTTTTAAAAGGCAAAGTAACGTGTTTTAAAATGCCTGCATAAAAATCCATTCATTCTTCATGGAGAAAAGTTAAAGTCCAATAAAGTAACGTGTTTTGAAAATGCTTACATAAAAATTCATCCATTCTTCGAGGAGAAAAGTTAAAGTCCGATAAATTTACATTTTTTTATGACAAAGTTACTTGTTTCGAAAATGTCTACATAAAAAATCATATTGGATTTTCATTCAAAATAATACTAAAACATATACATTTATCTAATGCTTTTTGAAATATTACCATAAAGGGGAAGCATGGCAATGCTCATTTTGAAGGTCTAATATTGTTATTAAACAGAGTTGCATACCCTTCTTATTGCCCATGGTCCAATGATAAAGTTGCGTTACTTGTAAAAGAGACGAAAAGCGTTACTTTTGAAATGTCAATATTTTCTGTCCCTTAATCATGACATAATCCCTCCACTATTAAAAGGTTCTATGTCCACTTGAACCATATTTGAGAAAACAGAGAACAAACATTTAGGTTCCTCTATCTTTGTGATACAGTAAAGTAGAATTTTGACATAAATGCTGATGCATCATATAGCCAAGATGAATCATTCCTGATCAGGATGGCAAGAAATGTCAATGTCTAAAGGCTAATGTAGTCTAGAACCGTTTGCTTCTGTAACACAACAATGAGTTTAAATGATGATAGAACCTTTTATTACCCTGGAATACAGTGCTTGTCAATTAGATGAAGCTATATTTACAGAAGCAAGCCACACTATTGCGAAGGGTAACCTTTTTTCTATCCAGATCGAACATGACAAGTCATTATAACATTTTTATAAAATTCTGTCACAAAAGGTGGGTGCAATTTTTGTGTAAAATCCGGGCGTGCCTGCAAAGGAATACTGTACTCTGGGTATTGTTCGCGTGCGATTTAATTTCGCTTTGTTCGCGAATGTAGTAAAATCGCGAACATTTATCGTCGCGAAATTTGTCTTTTAAATCCCTCGGGGGATTTGACTCGGGACTTTTGATATGTTTCGTTCGGTATGTCTTCAATTTTATATCAACAATTGATGTACTTGCTAAGCTCATGCATTATGTAAAAAGGCATGTAAGTATATTAATATTATCAATATGATATAATATAATACAATATAATAATATTATCAATATCAATTTTATATGTCTTCAATTTTATATCAACAATTGATAGTACTTGCTAGATCATGCATATGTACTAAAAAGGCATGAAGTATATTTATATTATCAATATGGAGTTTACAGAGCTGGAGGAAAAAATTCAACTTGTGCAATCCGCGAAATGTCATCAACTCAAATCCGCGAAATTAAATAGGCTTAGTCGTCGCGAAATTGCAATTTTGAAAAATCACGAAATTTTATAGCGTCGAAATTTACCAGGAGTACGGTAGACCAAACATACTATGCCGTTAAATGTAAAAAGGTTTTATCTCCAATTTGAATCATGACATTGAATGTTAAAAAGTTTTATCTCAAGAGATAGAACCATCTAGCAGTAATTATCTATTTCAAATGAAGGACATAGAACCTTATTGCATTAGAAATCTCCCGCCTATTTCTGTTGGAGAGCTTTATAACCTAATCTTTGGAAAGAGCGTGATTTAGGGGGAACCCACTTTCACATGCATCATTGACCCATATTAGTTAGAACCTTATAGTGAAGGGACGATTATATAATTTTTTCTACTTACATGTAGATCTAATACCACGGAGGAGTTTTCAGAGTGGGAGGGGGATGAACTCTTGTTCCACTGGGCCCGGGCCCCCCCCCCCCTCGGGTGGGCCCAGAAAAAAAAATTGGGCCCAAAAGAATTTTTGGGCCAAAAAAGGCCTTGTTGCCCCAAAAAGTAGGCCTTTTTTGGTCATAAATGGGCCTTCTAAGGCCTTATTTTTTAATTTTAGGCCAAATTTTGAAGAAAATGGGCCTCAAAATTTCAAAATGTGGGCCCACATTTTGGTTTTTAGGGGCCCAAAAAAGGTTTTTTATCAGACCAGAATTTTTGGCCCCCCCTTGTTGGTTCCCAGATCCGCCCCTGTGTTCCCTTGTCGCAACAATCACAAGTCAACACAATATCTTTAGATTAATGTGACTGTATAAATGTAACTGTATAAATGTAGTTTGTATAATTGTAGTCATGCCCTGAGTCTGCCCTCAGTGATAACACGATCACGGATTCTAAATTCTAAAATTCTAAATTTTCGTCCAGGGTTTTCGTCTAGTGTCAGAAGACCTCTTCTAAGCACTATAATTTACTTTAGGAGTAACATTAAGTCGTCTTGGGTATTTTGAACAAATTGTTTGTTATATTGACACGGATTTTTAGCTTCAAATACATAAATAGATAAACAATTTCAAGTAGCGTCAATCAGGACCTATAATGTACCTGTGTAAACTGAAAGGTTTTGTTGCGCGGACGTATATTTCAAATTAAAGTAGTCCGGCCATCCGGCATTTGTTTTTCCAGCTAATACTTAGTCGGCTTTATACCCTAAATATGTCACTTGAAACAATACCAAAAGATCTGAGGAACTTGCGAGCGTGTTTGTTATGCTCATTAGTAAAGGTAAGATACTTAAAACAGTATTTTTGTGTGGAATTTGACGGTAAATATCTGATAGAGATTTTCACATTGTTTTCGTGGGCGATAATCTGTAGGCTAGTCTAGGCGAGTAAACTCAATTTTTTTATTCTCGGAACCAGTTCATCATATGGTTCAAATAACGAATGGTGTGATGTAATCACGTATCTACTTACCAGTATGTTGTATGCCATCTATCGGACTAGGTTACATTGTGGAACTCAGCCAAACACGACACTGAAGGCAGCATTCTAAAAATCAAAACACAAATTCTCGGGATAATTTCATAGCATCACGGACATCTAATACGTAGTTCTTCGAACTGCGCTGGAACTATATCTATACCAGGACTGGCATCCAGATCCAAGTATTTTTTAAGACCGCCGACTCTCGTTGGGCTATTTATCCCTATTGACTCAGTTGTTCATATAAATTTACGTACCTTAGATGCTTTGTAATCAACGTAGATAGAAAATATTGTTTCCTAAATTGTTCTGAAAAGCGATAATTATTACTAAATGTACTTTGAACAGGTCGACTGACCAAAAAGCCGGGATTCTGGCACTAGTCTCGTTCTCGCTCTCAAACAAAACGTGAAGAACGTGACGTCACTTCCGAATCATAGCATTCAAAATAAGTAGCGTTTAATTTCAATCACCTTCGTAAAATTACGGTGGTCTAGAGGGAGAATCCTGGCTTAGCACGCTGGAGGCCCGGGTTCGAATCCCGTGCTCGCTTTTTTTATTTTGTGCAGCTCGTTGAGAATTTCTTTCGAGAAGTGACGTCATTGCAAAACCCCCCAGCTTTCGTTATCTTCATCGTCTAGTTTACGAATACCACATGTCGATGTGATGTTTTAATTGATAAATACGAATTCCTTACATATTTCGTTATCTTATTGTGAAATAGCAAACTAAGAGATATCTTTACTCGCTAGGAATTAACATAATTTTATTTGAAGCGATTTTAGAAAATTTTGAAACCGCCATCTTGGTAATATTGATGACGTGATCACCATCGGTCAAGGTCAGGTCAAAAGTCATCCATCTTGCCATTAGCCCCGCGGATTGTTACCAGTCGACAAAAAACGATGAAATCACGTTAAAAATAAAATATACACTTTAAAATTGAGGCTGATCGAATATGACAAGACTCCATTGAATACAGCTGTGCAATTTACAGTCACCAAGATGAGCTAATTTCGGAGAGATTCGGGAATTAAAAAAGGTAAGCCCTTCCGGTTTCCCAACTTCAAGTGTTTGAAATCCCAGAATTTTCGCCAGAAACATTCTCTCTGACTGTGCATAGCATGATGGGAAATTTTCTGCATTCCTCAATTGAGTCACATGTTATTTTTCAAACAAGAATCACTCCTTCCCAACATTGTCTATATCTTCCAGTCTTGCACAGAGAGTGCACTTATGTGCCTAGAAAAGACTTGTGAGAAGAATGTTTTGATAAAGTGTATAAAAAACAAGAAAATTCAGAGAAAAAATTCAGAAGTTTTTCAGAAATTTTTTTCATTGAATTTTCTCATTTTTTATACATTTTACAAAACGAATCTTCTCACAAGGCTTTTCTAGGCACATAAGTGCACCCTTTGTGCAAACCTGGAAGATATAGACAATGTGGGGAAGGAATTATTCTTGTTTGAAAAATAACACGTGACTCAATTGAGGAGTGCAGAAAATTTCCCAACATGCACCCTGTCCTTAAAATAACGAATTAATGAAATGTTACCGTGTGTCTACTTAACAGTTCGTTCTATGTCATTCCTCCTGCTAGATTACATTGTGGAACGCAGCCAAACACGACAATGAAGGCAACAACATGTCGATATTGATCTTAGCAGAATTTTGGGAAATTTAGATTGTCCATTTTGCAAGCTCACGTGACTGATCACGTAACACATGTCTGATCCAGAGGCACAGATTCCCAAATTTCTTTACTAGCCATGGTGGCTTGTAATGGAAAATACTTGGAAGCCAGCAGAAAAGTTAGGCGCCAACATTGTGGCTTGTAACTTCAATAGTTACAGGCCAAGAAAAAACGAATTAAATCCCCCATTGCCTCTTTATTAAGAGTTTTCTACATAGGCCCCGGGAACATGTATAAAATAGCGAGTACAGATGCATTTCTGGGCTACAACTATCAGTTTTTCTGTGTTGACAAACATGACTGCATAAATATACTATGATTACTCCACTGAAACCGCTACTCATGCCTGGAAAGACTCTTCATCGGCTCGGAGTCAGAGACCAGAACTTATTTCAATCGATTCGTTTTTTGGAAAAAAAATCTTTTCAAATATGAATGTCCATTATCGGCTTTCAAAAGCTCAGAGAGCTCATAATCACAGCCTATATTCTTGAAAACTTCAATCTGGTCTGATCTGATCACATTTCTATTCATTAAGAAGATATGATCAGCTAAAAACGATCAAAACTAGAGAAAAGTAAATATTTTTTCCAAATCCATGTTTTGATGTTTTGGTCACGTGACCACACGTGAAAGGTCAGAGGGAATGAAGCTGATTGGTCAAAGAATTCATGATGAACTTTAAAACGGCGGTAAATTCAAATTCAAAACTTATCTGCACAATGATTGGTCAAATAATTCACATTGCCGAAAATTAGACCAATCAAAACGCGAGACACAAAAAGGAGACAAAATATTAAACCTACAAGATAAGGAGTAGTTCCCAGAATACTTTGCGCGTCAATCGGGCCTATCAACGATCTCAATTACATTCATACCACTAAATTGATGCCGGGAAAGCACACTTTCGGAAAAATTGTAAATATCGATCAGCTGATTTAGCAAAAGCAGCATTAAATTCACGTGAAATCTTCGTCTTTTCACCAATTTTCATGATTGAAATGACAGGATAACAGGTATATTATAGTGGGAACTCTTGTACGCCAGGTATACGTGTAAATTTGATTTGTTTGGCGCCCGGGGCCAAAGTTAGGCGCATCTGGCGTCCTGGCGTGTGGGAATCTGTGGCTCTGGTATGATCACGTGACTAGTTACTGTATCGATAATGACATGTCGTCCAACCATGTCTTCAAGGAAAGCGGTAGTAAATATTTTGGAAAATGTTTTGCGAGCTTTTGCTACTGATTATAGAAGAGGGCATGCCGAGATAGCAATGTCAAACATTGTAGGGAGGGCTGCTAAAGTCACTGGGTATTCCAAATCAGTTTTTTTAACGAAACTGCTAAATTATAATTTTAGTCTGCTTATTGATCTATTGATTCATAAAGACCTGAAATGATGCATTCAAATAAGACCGCCTCCTAAATGAAAACACTACACATAAAGTGGTGAAAAAGAACAAATTAAAGTTGAAAGATCACAACGTTCGCTACTTTGTTCAATTCCGTAAGTCTCCAAGGGGCTGCAAATGGGAAATTTTTAAGATTTAGATTTTATAACCTCAGAATACTGCCTTCAGTGTCATGTTTGGCTGAGTTCCACAATGTAACCTAGCTGGAGGGATGACATAGAACAAACTGCTAAGTAGACACATGGTAACATTTCATTATTTCGTTATTTTAACCATATGAACTTATCCCGAGAATTTGTGTTTTGATTTTATCTGAGGTTATAAAATGTATTACTTCCTGTGAAAGCTATTTGGATTTTGATATAATAGCTTTCCCAAGGCGCACTTAAACAGCTGAATAATAGTGACCTTTAAAGTAACACATTTACGATGTATCTAAAATCTAAAACCTCAAAAAGTAATAGATATGACTATATGTTGTATAAAAAGAGATTTTTAAAAAAAATTGTGTTTGAGAGATAAATAAAAAAGAAAAAAAAACTTAGTAACGACCTGGAATCGAACCACCGACAGCTGGATTCAATCTATCAAAACCTTAGAACGGCGCCTTACTCCATTAGGCTACACTGGCATGATGAAATATACCTGTAATTCTAAAGCTATGTTATAAATTTTAGAAGACAGTCGAATCACTGCATAAGATTAATAAAAAAATAGTCAATAATCATTTTAATAATATTTAAATATCTATTTCGGTAAATTTTTAAGTCAAAACCAGGATTGATGATGTAAATTCAGTTTTCATTTAGATAATCTATTTCCTGTTATGAGTCGTATAAAAAACATGGCTCCGAAAAAATATTTCTTGCATCCAAATTTCAAAATGATATATATCCATGGATCAGTTATTTTTGGCACCTGAACCCATCCTAATAGAAAGGTAAGACTATTTTCTTGACTCATATCGCTTAAATTGTCAAAATTCGGCCTAGAATCGTAAATGTGTTACTTTAAAACATGAATAAAGATTTCCGCGGCTTACTTTTGGTCTCTAACTGTGTCTTACATCAGTATCATCAATCCTAGCCTTGTAGAAGGCTTTAAGCATTTGTTGATTTTTAAAATTTGGATATTTGTTTCCAAATGTAAAGGCTTGCATCAAACCCATTGAAAAACGCTCGATTTTACATGCAATAAATTACATATAATTCGTAAGATAAATACGACTTACGAGGGGTGATCAATAAGTAATGGACGCTTTTTTACACAGATGCTTTTATAGACCAATCCCTTCGATTTTCTTTCCAGTGATACATCATTCAATTATCTATCAACTCCGAAGATTTGAAAACAAAACATATAATATATTTTGATATATCTTTATTTCCGTGAAGGATGTGTAGGTACCCCGGGACCGACATAATGTCAATGAAGCTATTTTAGCTTTTTTAACATGCAATGCAGTTGAATGCAGGCTGAACAAAACAAACCATTATGGTCATGAATTACCAAATTTTATTATGCCATAGTTGATTTTGAATATTTTCACTATGTGGTATTCATGCCACATTCATTCCACAGGGCCCTCTAAATAGGTTCCATCAAGTGCTACATGTATACAATTCCTCATCCTCTTAACTCAATATTGTGAGAAAAGGCTGAATCCATTCTCTGACATGGTAGCAAGATGCAGTTG